ACAAGGTGAATCCAGTAATACCATGGAAACCATCCAGTTGAACCAACTACGAAAACTGACTTCTTCTAATTCAGTAGCATGCTTGTACCAGCTACATGCTATTAAGCATCCTCATGTGCCAAGAACCATAGGTTGTAAAGAACCTGATTACCGAGTACAAGAATGTTTGCAATACTATGAGAAGGTATTTCCCAAACCCACCAGCTTGCCACCACAACGTCAGGAAGATCATCAAATACATTTAGAACCTGGAACAAAGGCAATTAATGTTAGACCATATCGATACCCACACTTCCAAAAGACAGAAATGTAGAAGATGGTAAGAGAGATGCTGGAATCAGGAGTGATCCGTCCCAGCCTGAGTCCCTTTTCATCCCCGGCATTGCTTGTTAAAAAGAAAGATGGTACATGGAGATTCTGTGTGGATTATAGAGCCCTCAATCAGGTGACTATAGCTCACGGTTTCCCCATTCCGACGGTAGATGAGATGCTGGATGAACTGGCCGGAGCTACTATTTTTTCCAAGATGGACCTCAGGTTTGGTTACCACCAGATACGCATGGCTGAGCAGGATATATGCAAAATCGCATTTCGCACACATGAGGGCCACTACGAGTTTCTGGTTATGCCCTTTGGCCTCACGAATGCACCTGCCACCTTTCAGGGAATCATGAACTCCGTCCTCAAGGTATTCTTACGGAAGTTTGTAATTGTTTTCTTTGATGATATTTTAATTTGCAGAAAATCATTGGAGGAGCATTAGCAACACCTACGGGCAGTTTTAGACTGTCTCCAGAACAACAACCTTCATGCTAAGAGGGAAAAATGCTCTTTTGCTCAACCTGAGGTTGAATATCTAGGCCATGTGGTGGATGCAACTGGTGTCAGGCCAGATGAAGAAAAGATTATGGCTATTAAAGAATGGAAGGAACCTACAACAATTAAGTAGCTCCGCGGTTTCCTTGGGTTAGCCGGGTACTACCGTAAATTTGTAAAGGGTTTCTCCCATATAGCTGCTCCCTTAACCGCCCTGCTACAGAAGGATTCTTTTAAGTGGAATGCTCAGGCAGCACAGGCCATGGCTCGGTTGAAAGATGCATTGACTAATTACCCAGTGTTGGCCTTGCCATATTTCACTCAACCCTTCGTGCTCACTACAGATGCCTCTGGCATTGGAATCAGGGCCGTGCTCAGCCAAAACAATCAACCCATTGCTTATTTCAGCTACAAGTTAACCTCCAAGATGCAACAAGCCTCCACTTACGTCAGGGAGCTATTTGCCATCACTGAAGGAGTGGCCAAGTTTCGTCAGTACTTGCTCGGCAACAAATTTACTATACAGATTGATCAACGCAGCATCAAATAATTAATGTCTCAGATCATCCAGACACCTGACCAACAACGCTTTTTGGTTAAGTTGTTGGGCTATGACTATAGTATAGAGTATCACCCATGAGCGATCAACAAGGTGGCCGACGCCCTGTCACGAGTGCATGAAGGGGACAAGGGACCTGAATTCGACTCTCCTGAGCTTCTGACCATGACTACCTTGGTCAATCCCCTGCTGGCATCCATAAAGAGAGAAGTTATTGAGAACTCAGAATTAAAAAATTATTAGTATCTCTTCAAGAGAACAGAGAAGGGTTCGAAAACTACCAGTTCAAAGATGGACTCATCTTCTTCAAGGGGCGAATTGTTGTAGCCAGCAACTCAGAGCTCCGCACCACACTACTACACGAGTCTCATTCCACAGTTATTGGTGGTCATGGTGGAATCCGTAAGACGTTGCACCGCCTCTCCACCCACTACTACTGGCCAAATATGAAGTTTGATGTGCAAGAATTTGTGCGCACTTGCCAGGTGTGCCAGGTTACAAAATATCAACCTCTTTCTCCTGCTGACCTTTTACAGCCACTGGCCATACCGAAAGCCATTTGGGAAGACCTCTCCATGGACTTCATCATCGGGTTACCACCATCAGAAGGGAAAACAACTATTATGGTGGTTGTGGTTCGTCTTTCTAAATACTCCCACTTTTTGGCATTACCAGGGGACTTCACCGCTTCAAAGGTAGCATCCATTTTTGTGTCAGACATATGTTGGCATCATGGCGTTCCTCGCTCGATTGTCTCTGATCGAGATCGTATTTTCCTCAGCAAGTTTTGGCAAGAGTTGTCAAGGTTGAGTGGAACACAACTACATTTTAGTACTGCGAATTATCCTGAAAGTGATGGTCTGACGGAGATTACAAACAGAGGATTGGAACAATATTTAAGATGCTATGTGATGGACAATCCAAAAGGGTGGGTTCGGTACTTACCTTGGGCCGAGTTCTCCTACAATTCCTCTTTTCATTCTGCCATTGGCTCCACTCCGTTTCAAGTCCTCTATGGCCGTATTCCCCCTCCCTTTGCTATATGAACGAGCGTCCTCAGCAATTGAAGCAGTAGACACATTGCTGCACCAACGGGATCAAGTTCTGCGACAGCTCCAAGATCACCTGCACAGAACACAGCAACACATGAAAATCCAAGCCGACAAGCACCTGAGAGATGTGCAATTTACAGTGGGTGAACAAGATCTGGTTAAGCTACAACCTTATCGCCAGAAATCCGTTCGTAATAAAACTTTCTTCAAGCTCCGACGAAGGTACTATGGGCCCTTTCCAATAACGGCACGAATTGGTCCCGTAGCTTATCGGCTTTCTCTCCCAACCGGATCTCGTATCCATCCGATTTTTCACGTCTCGTTGTTGAAGCCTTTCCGTCAAAATTTATTCTTTCATCCACTGCCGTTGCCACCGGTGACATGGGATAACCACCCAGTGACTGAGTCGCTGGCCCTTCTACGATCTCACACTGTGCTGAGGGGGAAAGATTCAGACTTGCAAGTTTTAGTGCAGTGGAGCGGACTTCCTTTGGAAGATGTTTCTTCGATGCCACTCACCGAGTTTACTCAGGCCTTTCCACGCTTCGATCTTGAGGGCAAGATCGAGTCTTTATGGGCGGAGGGAACTGATACGACTCCAAGACACGAAGGGAGATATGGGAACGTGGGTACTGGAGTGGGAGACGCGTTGAATACAAATAGAGAAGAGGTAGACGGTGGAGAAGGTCCCAGAAGGGGGACACAGGTCAGAATGAGATCCAAGTGGGTAAAGGACTATGTGCTGGAGTAATGTGGGCTTAGCTGTAATCGAAGCCCAATTGCTTACTGATAGTAGATGAGTCAGTATGGAGTTTAATAAAGGCTAGGCCACACCCGTAAGGCCCAATAGCTGAATGTTGAGTCTGCTACTCAGCTCAAATAGAAGTCACGTTTCTTGCATAGGGTATTGAATATTGTAATAGAGTCTTCTTCTTCTTCTCTCTGAATTTCTTGGAGTTGCCAGCAAACTCGAATTGTTGTTGAATTTCCTTAATACATTGTCTTTGAATTTCAATTGTGCGTTGAACCTATCAGTAGCATGGTTGATACTGCTAGTCTGCTACCCAATCTGTAGTTCAAAAGCCAATGACTCTAGAAGCCTATTTTAATTTAAAAATTTGCCCCCGTGATTATTTAAAATTGACTTGGTTTACTTGGACTTAGACTTCAAATGACCCTATTAATTACTTCACAATAAAAAATCAATCAAATGAAAAAAATTGTTCTTTGTTTTTCGCTAAAATCCAAATTCCTTCAAATAAAGAACTTCTTTTGAATATATTGTACAATATTAAATAAATATCTTGTTTGACCCACACACATCATCATGATGCTTAAAGAATAAAACAAAATCAGTTTAACATGATGAAGACAGGGACGTCCGATCTCCCTCCTTGGCCATACGCTATTCTTGTTGAATCGGTCGAGACACCTAAATTTTAAGAGTTTTTCTTTTTCTCATTTTACATGAAATAATATTTTTCATGTTATAAATGTAATAAGTGAAAATTCCATCACTTATTAAAGAAATAAAAAAAATATAACACAAATTTTAATACCTCATGACATGAAAAAATAATCTTTAACGGCATGAAAAAATAATTTCTTAAAATTTAATAGGGCTTGAATTTTTCTTACGATGATTCTTTGGTATGGGGTCCACCTCCATTACATCATGACCTACCTAAACCTAAAGTATTCGTTCGAGGAATCAATATTCCAATAAGATGCCGCATTAGTTGTCATAAAGCAACCCTGACACATACTATTTATACATGGGTGAAAATATCACGTTATGGGATGACGCAAAATATACACATATGATTTCACATAATATTTAGCTCTCTTGTGATTGTGAGTCAATCAACACAGTTTCCGCATATTAAATTCAGTAAGCAGTTTCTAGACTCTTCACTGTAGCAGGTACTACATTATTCGATTCCGCAACTGTTCAGTTCAATTCTACTCAATTTTTATTCACTCGGTTCCCTTCACTTTAAACTTTTCTTGTATGTGGTTCATCATCTACCATTCCACGAAGTAGTAGGGCTAAAGAGAAAAATAAATAAATAATTGTCTGAGTGATTAATATAGGCCTGTTTAAAAAAAAAATTCAAAAATATTTTTTTAATTTTCAAAAAAAAAAAAGAAAAACCTATTTGATAATGCCTATCTTGTAAAAGTAATTTAGAAAATTATACTTATTTTTTAATTTTTAGAATCAAATTTAAAGAATAATATATTTAAGTTATTTCTGTTTGAGAGGGATTTAAATATCTATCCATTCCACACTTCAAGAGTCGAGCTTCTGAAAATAACGACAGTAGTCAACTCACCTCAAAAAAATAATTAGGATTGAATTAACTCCAAAAAAAGAATTAGTTATTAATTTATATATTTTTTAGCTTTAAATTTTAAAACAAATAAAACATAAAAAATATTCATTTTATTGCACAAAATAGTTAAAAAAAAAAAGATACTATAAGTTCACATTTTCTTCCCTACGTTGCTATAAGAACATAGTTCCTTGCTCTTCTCAACTTTCCTTGTTATTCTGTTTGGCATAGCAAGTGAGTTGAAACTGAGAAGCATGGAAGGAGAAAGAAGGAAGAGGAAAATAATAGAGAATGAAGAAGAAAGTGAAGAGCAGCAGCTAGAGAAGTTCTTTGCCCTGATAAAGAGCACGAAAGATATACGCGATCGTCTCTCTAAAGAGAAAGAGGAAGAGAAGGCAAAGGGTGTTTGGAACCCGACGTTTCAACCAGAAGATTTCATTGATGATGTAGATTTGACAAGGATTAATATTTTACATCAACCTGCAGCTGGTCCTTCAGGGCAAGAGAAAGAGAAGGATGATGTACACAAAGAATCACCAGAAGCAGCCGCAGCAGCAGCCGCAGCGACGCCGCTGGAAGAAAATGAAAATGAAAATAGAAGGAAAGCAAGTGATAAATTAGACCTAACCCTTTCTTTGTAATAAATATCATGTAATTAATGGATTGGCTTTGATTTGCAGACCGAATTGGTTTATTGATTCAATTTTCGTTGTTACTTCATGACTGAACATGTATAGTGCTTATGGATTGCAAAAGTTAAAATTTATGCTCACACATACATGATTCAATGATTTGTCAGTCAATATATGGATCATATGCTGATCGTATTGTCGCTTTTTTTTTTTTTTTTTTGGATTACATCCGGATAGGGTCATGAGACTAATTCTTCGCCCCGAGTCAGCGCACAAAATGGTAAAGAGCTGGCCACGAAATGTTTTTCATTCACAAAAGTTGGGGTTCGGACGCTTAGCCACTCACGTGGTTGTATTGTCGCTTTTTTTGAATGGCCCAAATTGTATGTACACATATCTCACCTTGTTGCTGTGGTGGTGGATCCAATTTTTTTTTTCTATGTGTGCACATTTAAGAGGGGGTTCGGGGGCAGCGGCCCCGAAGATTTTTTTTAAAGAAAATTTAAAATGTATAGTTTAAGCTTTAAGCTTTTAATTATAGGGGTTGGTTGGGTTGAGCCCGTGTTAGTTAAAATCCCGATTTATATCTGTGATTTTATGATTTTACGATTTTTTTAATCAAAACGATTTCATCAAAATTCCAAACACTTTTACGATTTTACAATTTTTTTTACGTTAGGATTTTACTTTTTACGATTTTTTATCCTCCTTCTGATTTAAGTAAGATTCCGATTTTAACTACTATGAAGATCCCGATTTTAACTACTATGGTTGGGCTTATGTTTACTTTTTTTCTTTTCAATCTTCTTAAAATTTTTTTTTTTTTTACTTTACCTAAATCACCCACTCCTGTGAAAAAAAAATTCTAAAATGTTTGTGTCTACATGTGCAGACAAATTATTAAATAATTTTGGTTGATAGTTTATTAATGAATTATGGACATTGTAACATATGACAAATATTTTACTGCACCCAACGCGCAAGAGCTGGTTGGGTATTCGTAGAGGTGACCATCCATGGGAACAGTGGCCAAAGTGCCACTGTTGGCTAAAAAAACACCAAAATGCTATGCCAACAGTAAATTTTGTCAAAATTTCACGTGGCATATTTCGCTACACTGTGTAGCGAAATATGTGTGCAAATAATTCGCTACACGGTGTAGCGAAATATGCCACGTCAGAACCAAAAATGCCACGTGTCAAACAGGGAGAATTTCGCTACACAGTGTAGAGAAATTCTCCCTGTCTAACACGTGGCATTTTTGGTTCTGTGCATTCTGACGCGGCATATTTCGTTACACCGTGTAGCGAATTATTTGCACACATATTTCGCTACACAGTGTAGCGAAATATGCCATGTGGCATTTTGACAAAATTTACTGTTGGCGTGACATTTTGGTGTTTTTTTCCAACAGTGGCACTTTGGCCACTGTTCCCCATCCATGTCTCGGCGAATCATCTTCGTGTCCGGTTAAAATAAGACATGATTATGAATACACTTGAGCATTGAGCATGTTTGATGCTCAATATAAAATAAGACTTGATATTATAAGGTTTGATTGAATTTTAATATTATTCAGCATTCAACACGGTATTATATAACATAATAATTATATAAGATAATATTATCTCTTATTTGGCAATACACTGTATAATACTAGATAGGATAAAAATAAATATTTTTGATAAAAATATCCATTAATAAAGAATTTATATAATTCTTCCAAATATATCATATGATATTAATTTTTATAAAAATCTATTGATTAGTGTTAGGATTGAAAGTGGGTCGGGCTAGCCTACATGGACATATGGCCTAACCTATATCAGGCCAGACTCGGCCTATGACATATAGTAAAATAGAATAGGCCCGAGGTTTTTAAAAAGACCTATTTAGAAAGTAGGCTATAGGTATTTTTTTACATGTCAAGCCTATAAGCCTACAGACCAGCTTATATCATGGTAATACCAAATGATAATAGTTCAGTTGGTGCATGTGAGCTGAGCTGCAATACCCCGACAAGCCTTTTTTTTGAAAAAATACATGTCGGACCGACACGCGGTCAACATTTTGGGACACGTGATCAACTTTCCGACACGTTTTTCTGACACGCAGTCAACTTTTTACGACACGTGGTCAACGTTTCGACATGCTCCGACACGTTTTTTTTTAGTCTTAATTTTTTTTATTAACTAAAAATAAAAAAAATCATTTATAAATCAATTTTTTTTCAGTTATGAAATTTGACGTGAAAAATTAAAAGGTACGAATTTTTTTTTATATTTATCTTATAAAATTTAAATATTTGATTGGTTATATGACTTATTATGGATTGTTATATGTATTAAATATAAATTATAATATATATATATATTAAAAATATTATTTAATATCAAAGCGTGTCCCAATGTGTCGAAATATGTCATTTTTGAGAATTAACGTGTCGGCGTGTCGTGTCAGTGTCCGTGCATCATAGGAGCTGAGTAGGTGGTGGAATGACATAGGTTGGATCCCCCACCATACTACTTTTAAGAGTGACATAAGATTTGTATCAATATCTACAGTAGCATCAAAATCAACATTTAGTGTTGGATAAAGAGTTATTGATGCCTATCGTTCTAAGTTGGCTGAAGATACCATCCAAGCTTTGATATATGGTGAAAATTGTCTACGTAATAAGTATGATTTTAAAAAAAAGGTATAAAAAGGTTTTTGTTTTTAATCTTTTTCTTTCTTTCTATTCTTTAATCTTGTTTTTTATTTTCTACATTTACAAACTGTTTACCAACTTATGTAACCTTGGAATTGTATTTGCAGAGTAGAGAAGATGATGCTAAGTTTTTGGCTATTACAAGCATATCATGATGCATTTGTTAGATTCATACAGTTATTTTAATTACATAATATGGATTGATTTGTTGAATTTGGAGGAATATATGTTATTTAGTTTGGACATCTTGCTTATGAAAGAGACTTAAATGTAGATTGTGATAAGTTGTTGTTATGATTCATGGTTTTGTTTTAACGTTGAAATTGTAGTTTTTGTTTTAACAATAAAATTTGAGTATTTTATGAAATTGATTCATGTTCTGTTTGGAAGTTAAAAGTTAACAGGCTAACGGGTCAGGCCAGACCATTATTTTTTTATAAATGGGTCATGCCAGGCTAACAGTTAGACTTTATTATGCTATCAGGCCAGGTCAAATTGAATTTTTTTGATATAGGCTTGGGCTTTTCGAGACAAAACTCGGCCTAACCCAGTCTACTTTCACCCATAATCAGTGTGTCAAAAAATATATTAATTTTTATAAAAATAAAAATCTCCAATATTTTAAATTTTTTAATATATTGAATATTAATTTTTATTTTAATATAATATTTTATTTCAGAATTGCGTGATGTTAATACATTAAGCCCTTATTGGGCCTAATCTCAAGTCTCAACCCCTTAAACGAATTAAGTTATACATGTTTTTGTGTATTAAGGGATTTTGCTGTATAAGCTTATACAATATGATGATCACACCAAACAACTAAAAATGTATAATGTATAGTCTAAGCTTATATTATCAGGCATTATACATCACACCAAAAAGGTCCTTAATTTAAATACAATTCAATAAAGATTTGTGTTAAAACTTTTGACACGAACATAACATGATCTGTGAATTGATATAACACAACACAAATAATATATATATATATATATATATATATATTAAATAATTTATTTCATAATTAACAATAATTATCAAATAATGACACAACACGAATACTTGATTAGTAAAAAGCATAATTAACCACAAAATTGTATGTCAATGTCATGTTTGTGACTTGACACGTAATAATGTTACTTAACATTGAATCTAAACACGATACAATAAAGATCCATATCATTTTGATGAATATTAAAATTGTATTTATTTTTTAATATAATTATGGATAACATATTTAATTATCAATTATTGTTGGGTCTATGGCCCATGAAAGATCTAGCCCAAATTAATAGGTGCCCTAATATCTTATTTATAAGAGATGCTTAGATGTTGAGTCGTTAAAGTCAAGAGAGAGAAAAATATAGACAAATGCAAAGAAAGAAAAATGTGCAAACCATAGATGAAGATCCTCTAAGGAAGAAACTCAACGCCACTGCTAAAGAAAAATAATAGCCTTTACGTAGAATATGATTCCTTCCCTTTTACAGAGAAAAACACTTGTGTGAGACACTTGTGAGTATATCCATCTTTTAGAGGGTGAAGTCCTCTAGTTAATGAGCTAGAGAGAATCTTTTGTAATCCCATTATTTATAGTGAACTTTTTTTGGACTTAGTCCTGTGATTTTTACTCTTCACATCAAAGAGGTTTTTCATGTTAAAGGTTTTGATGTTCTTTGTTCCTTCTTTATCTCTTGTTTAATTTTTTGATTTATAGCTTATCAAGGCTTCCGGAAGCCGACTTGAAGAAGGTCGGGCTAATTGACATAGAGGATAGGCCGTAAAGTGTCGGGCTTTGAGACCCTACAATTATATTATGCTATTTATCATACTTGGGTGAATAAATGACCAATTAAATTCCTAATTAAATATAAGGTGCATAGGTGGATACATAATATTGGTCAAATTAGATATAATAACGGCCACCCAAGAGGAGTTGGTCTATATAATGGTGATCCAGTTAATTTTTAGGATTTGACCTGCTCAAAGGGTAGTGTGTTCAAATCTTGAGAGTCCTAATTTCTTGGGAGGGTGAAAAACCACAAACGCGGGTTAGTCAAGTACATTAAGACTTCGAACACCAATTAGTATCTTAAAATAATAATAATAAGAGCCTAATGGAATAATATAAAAGGTACTTTAGGATTATGTGTTATGGTACCCAGGTGAAATCATACTCTATTTCGGGATATGGACTAAATTGTCGCATTTTTTAAATAAATTTGTCGGAATGCCACACGGGTACAAAAAATGTGTCAAACTGTCACGCATCCAAACTCGCTACAATTGTCAACGA